TTGTTCCATGTGCTTGAAAGCCCTATTTAATTATAAATATAAGAATTTTAATTTTTAATTTTTTTTTTTTTTGTTTTTTGTTATTTACTTTTAATAAATGTTCAAAATGTATTTCATTACGTTTATATATTAATAAAACAACACAAATACTTGTCATAATAAATATCCAACAAAATATGAACAGATGATATTTAATTAAAAATCGAGCGTATCTTTTTAGTTTTTTAAATAAAGAAAAATTATTTTTGAATAATCAAAATCTATTTAACTTACTTCGCTTGAAAATGATTACTACACACCATCGCATACTAAATAAAATATAATAGAAGAGCTTAGCACAATGAGCTAGCTCATCGTTTTCTTTTCTTTTTCTTTTTAGTCTAAAAATATGACAAAATATAAAATGTGTGAAAAAAAAAGAATATATATATATATATATCAATTATTTTCTGATTAGACATGGTTCAACAGGATATTGTATAGACAAAAGATAAATTTGCAAATTTTGGTTTGTTATAGCACGCACAAACTAAAAATCGTTTTTTTCAGAATGCTAATCCTAAGAATGCACTCTCCGTCTAATTGAACACTACCAATATGAAATCTATCGTTATAACTACTATATATATATATATATATATTTTTATTTTTTTATTATTTCAATGGAACTCTTTTTTCCTTTTGTTTCTATCGTTTGTTCAATTGTTAGTTTCACGTTTGAAATTAGAGAATGCAATGTCATTTCTTCCGATTCGAAAGGAAATATATATTGTCATCATAATTTTTGACATTTATAGACACATATAATGATAATTGCTTTCGAAAACGGATAATCTTTTATTATTTTTATGAAGTCTGTCAGGACATCATGTTCTCTTATTCTAGGTTTTGTTTTTGGAAAATATGTTCATATATATTTTTTTTTTCTTGTTTTACAATGTACCTTTATAAAAAAAAAGAAAAAAGAAGAATATTAATCATGATTATTCAATCATGTTCGTTGTTACTCGCTTATTAGTAGGCGGGGTTAACAGTAGTACAAATTTTGCTTTGTCCTTGGTTTTTCTTATTCCTTGTTCTTTTTTTTTTGTTTTATAATTCTATTTGTCTTGTTATATCTTGCTAATAATCAAGTTCATAGAGTTAAACAAATTAAGAACATAAATTATTACGAACAATGTGTTGTACTCTAAACAATTTGGCAAAAAAGTTCTTTTTTGTTTTTTTCATAAGTTATTTTAAGATATATAATCAAGTATGAATAACTATAACAATAATGAGAAAAACAAAGTATAAGTGACGCATGTAATCTAATACAAGAACATAGAAGATCGTAAAACTAAATATTTGATGTATTTCCTTTCCATTATTTTTCAAAAAAGAAAAATATTAAGCATAGAATCGTATATATCTCTTAATTAGATATGCATGAGAGCAACAATCTTTGATCGTAGATCTTGTAAAAAAAACACCTATCATCTACTTTTTTCATTCATAATCTTTTCTTTTTTTTTTTACCAAAATTTCCTTTTTCCTGTTTGTTTTGACTTCAACATTAATTTACTAAACTAATAATTATTCTCATAGATTTTTTTTTACTTCTAATATATATTATTTAGTTTATAATGAATATTATACTTTAATATTATTTCACGCTAACATCCGCTTATTTCAAATTTTAACTTCTATATTATTTTCTAGTACTAATATATATAAAGATAGTTATTCTTTTCTTTTAAATATTGATTGTACTTATTATTCGCATGATCAAAGCATATTTCCTGCACGTCATTATTCTTGAAGTCTGCTGATAAATTTCATATACTATATTGCATGCTTTATTGTGTTTTTTACTCTATAGTATCTACTTCCTAATCTAATAAATATCAAAAGAGAAAAAAAAACAATGAAAAGCAAAACTAATAAATATAATTTTTAAATAAAATAAAACAGAAGGTTTCTTTTACTTGTCATCTAGTGTTAAATAATAAATAATTTTTTATTGTGTAATTGTAATGTAAAAAAAAAAAATAACACAAGCATTTCTGTTTTCTATCTTTGATCATATACGTGATAACGATTCAACGTATGTCAAAGAAACATTCAGTTTTTTTTTTACTATCAATATTAAATATTTTTATATAAACTTGATGCCTGTTTAGTTTTATGATTCAATAATGTAAATATCTAAATATACTTGCACCTAAAGGTTTTCTCGTGACAAACGCCAAATGAAAAAATTAAATACATTATGCTTACTCTTTTGTTTTATACAATGTAACAATGAGTAGTATATAAAGGTTTCAAATGAAATAAAAAATAGAAAATTTTCATCATCTAACCAACTGTAAGATCATGTATCTTATATTCTTGAATCGCATGGCTTTCTATACTTTTGTCTCTTCTTCTTCTTTTTTCTCTCTTCTTTGTAATAGATGTTCCGATGACATAATTTCCCGAGTGCACACGCATTAAAAAAAATGAAAAAAACCAAGAGTGTAGCAAAAAAAACCGTAGGAAAAGAGAAAAGAAAACTTTTACGAGTATGAGAAGAAAAGAAAAACTGAATGCAATGATAATAATGATTAGTACGCAGTGCTTATGGGTATTGACAATTGTTGTTAAAATAATACTATGATAGAAAAGACGGAAGAACCCTTACTGAGATATCATCTAGGTAGAGAAACATTAACATCCTGGGAAAGATAATGAATCTAAGAAAGTAGAAGTGAAAAAGATTTGACTATTTTCAATAAATAGAACAAGTAGGTCCTCTTGTTAAAAGAAAAAAAAACAGCAATCAACTTAAATGACACTTAAAATAAGTATTCACATGAATATTTGAAAAGAAAAACATAACAGGTATATACTTCATAATATTACTGAGATGAATGTGTATATAATTAATTCCGCCATAAGTGAAAATATTAAAAGACCTCGAACATTGAAACCTTGTTTTGTTTTTTTTACAAAACAAGTCTTTCATTTATATTTGAACATCCATATCTAATTAATTGCTGTCAAAGCTTTAAAGAAAATGAAAAAAAATATATATATATAGCTACTGAATTAATATGATATTCATGTATTACATAATGACATGATTGAAAAAGTATGATTATTTTGGTAGAATTTCTTATTCATCTGAAATAAAGATATCGCATATGAATAATATTATCAAACGTTTTTTTATTATATTTTAAATAAAAAAACAATATATTCAATTGAATTTGTTATACATAGTGCTTAATAATAATATAGAAAATACATGGATAATAACATTTCTCTCATACAACGAAAGAAAGTTCGAAGATACGAATAGCAAAATTAGACTTGTCTTAATCTCTATGAATAATTCTTTCACATTTAATACAAATCTTGTTTTTTCTATATATCCTGTTTCAATGCCTTTTTCTTATCGCCGTAATTATATCTACAGAAGTCCGTACGAGATTGCTTTGAGTCATCGTATCGAAAATCATATAAAATTATTGATTATTTGACGAAGCAAACATCATAAGTTGAAATACTTTTACAAAAAACAAAAAAAAACGTACAAATAGTTCAATCTTCATGAATTTTAACAGGACAGATAATATTCAAAGAAAAATCTAATTAGTCATATTCGAATGAATGATAATGATCAGTAAAAAAATAGATCCATAAATACGTTCTATTAAATTTTGATCAATATATTAAACATTATAATTTCTATTAAAACAAATGTTTTCTGAAAAAAACAACATTGTGCTTAATTTATGAACATAATTTGTCTCATTATTTCCTCTGTTAAAAATAGAATTTTTAAATTATAGAAGATAAGTATGGAAAAAAAATGAGTCTTAACGGAAGTACATTGTGAGTTTATACAGAACATCGAGTCTTGTTTTTTCTGTTACAATTTAAAAAAAAAAAAGAATAGTTTTCATTTATTGTCGGGTAGAATACAAAGTTACTCATTAAAAAAAAAAGAAAAAAAAAAGAAGCTTTTTATTAATGAGTTTCTATTTGTAGATAATTTGATATTACAAATCATTTTCCAATAAAAATAACTCATCCTTCTAATTTGTATAACACTTTCTCATTACCTATATTTAGAATATCAGATAGACCATTAATAACTATGTCGATATTTATTCTATTTTTTATGCATTTAATCTCAGATGTAATAAAATTTTGATGTTTAATATTAGAAAAATTGAATTTGTTTTTTCTTCAACTATACTCGATAATACGAGATAAAATCTCTGCTATCTATCTATATATATATATATGGAGTTGACCAGTCTGACCGGATACTCCATTGCCTTACAAAAGTAGAGAAAAGTTACGAGCTCACAGATCAGCTAGTAGCGTTTCTCTACTATTGCAAGGATAAAACATAGTACTATTCGGGTCAATCTAGGGGTTGTCTATGACCCGAACAAAAGTATGTTTTATCCTTAAAATAGAAAAAAATATCAATGGGGTATCCGACCAGACTCGTTAACCTTATATATATGCAAAAGACTTAGTAAGTATGAAAGTAATCGTATGATAATAAATTTTCGAAACCTTTTTTGTTTTTGTTCTATGATTATTTTCACAGCTGTATGAAATCAGATATGACTTTTTCAGAATAAATCATTTTGTTTTTTATGATAAAAAAATATGTATGTTAAGTAAAGTTTATAACAATGAAAATAAAAAAAAAAAAGACATCAAATAATTGTTTCTAAAATTATATTTCAAAATGTAAATAATAATTTATTAGAAGTTTGATTATTCAAATTATATAATTCAATGAATATTTTTTTCATTCGTATATAAGATAAAAATAAATAGATTATCCTTTGCTCTCGTGAGGATTTGTGTCAATAAAAAGTTATTTCATTTTTTTGATATTTTCAACAAAAAAAAAAAAAAAGAAACAATAATAGAATGAAGGTGGGGCTTAACACACTTTGATAATATAAAACGATCGATAGCAATCACAATTATCCTAGTGCAAGAATAAAGTCATGATATTGGTTCAACATGTATTTATTTTATTCTTCACTATCTATTTAATTCCATGTGAAACTCTTAAATGTTATGAATGTACAGGATATATACCTTGTGGACAAGGTGAAACTCATCTTATGGTTGATTGTTCAGGGAAATGTATGGTCTATAGAAATCAATATGATGGTGGTAAGAAAAAAATCGATTAATTATATAATTGATTTCATTTAATTAGATTTATATTAAAAATAAAAATAGGTACAATAATTCGACGTTGTTGTACAAATGATTGTGGTGATAATGGTTTAAGTATTTATGAAGGAAGAAATCCGAGTTATTTTTGTTCCGAAGATTTATGTAATGGTGTTCTTGCAGATGGAAGATTATCAGGAGAAATTATTGATCCATTATTAACAACTACAACATCAGTTTTATTAACGACGAATTATGGTATGTTATAAAATGATTCTAAATTCATAGAATTCCATCAATTTGAAAAAAAAACACATAGTCTCATCACAAGAGCCAAGTTCATCTTTAAGTTGTTATGATTGTACTGGTTATAATCCACAATGTGGTATTGATGAATCAACATTAATTCATGGATGTCGAGCATGTATGGTTTATCTTAATCAATTTGATGCTAGTGAGTGTATAGAAAAAAAAAAGAACTAAATAAATATAGAAGAAGTTTTTTGTTTGACAAAATATTCAGATACAATCATTCGACGATGTTGCACATCAGGTTGTGGATTACCTGGAACTATTGATGATTATGAAGGTCGTAGAACATATTTTTGTTCTTCAAATAAATGTAATGGAATTGGAACAGAGGCAATACTTAATGGTGGAACAGGTAAAATAAATATCGAGAGAAATGCAAAGTGATTGCAAATATTTTGCCTCATCCCGATATAATGAAAGATTAATATGAAAAATATTGCATTGTAGTTTTAACTTCTACAACGCCGTGGCCTACTTCATTAACTACCACTGTACAATCATCATTTCAATGTTATGATTGTTCAGGACCAGGTTGCGGTCAAGAAGGATCACCATTAACAATGAATTGTCCTACTTGTATGGTATATCGAAATCCAGATGATCAAAGTAGAATGAAAAAATTTTTAAAAAAAATATATATTTTTATTCTTTCAAAATTTTTTTATAGCAAGAATTGAACGACGTTGTTGTTGGTGGGCATGTGGATCGTCAAATTCTGTTAGTACATACAATGGAATACAAACTTATTTTTGTTCAAATGATAAATGTAATGGATATGGAGCGGAAAATATACTTCCTCCTCCAGGTAAAAAAAATTCTTTAATAATAAAAAATAATTTATTTCATATTATCAGTACTAACAACAACACCAAACATTATTATCCTAACTACTACAAGTAGATTTTAGTCATTATATTTTTTATTTTAATTAAAATTTTATTTCTCATAGCAACAACAACAACAACAACAACAACAACAACTGTGACACCTACGACTTGTATACTTAATTGTCAAAATGGTGGTACACCAGAAATCGATAATGGTTGTTTTTGTTATTGTCTAGAACACACAAGTGGTCCTGAATGTGAAAATAGTAAAATAAAATCATTTTTTTTTTATTAAATAATATTATCTTTTAAATTTAGTTATTTGTAGTCAACCGGATGTTAATCCTCAAATATGTAGTTTGGAAAATCAACAATTATGTGGACAAAGTGAAATATTTGCATCTCAATGTCTTCATTTATGTGGAAAATGTTAAAATCTATTTATTTCTATCATATAATTGTATAAACTTTTTTTTCTCGTTAACAATTACAAAAGCTTTATTTTGTTATTTTATTCTACGAGATTTAAAAAGTTTTTTTTCCTTTTTGTTCAGTATTAAAATTGACAAAACAGCATTACCAGCTATGGTTCAAACTTAAAAGTGAAGAAAGTTGAGAACAATTGAGGGTATTTGAAATGGAAGCATTTCTATTGCTAAGTAGCAGTAAGTGCTGTGGGCACACAAAATTTTTCTTAGAATGAACAAGTCGAAAATTTGTGTAAAAGATGATAGTGAAATAATTCGTTAAACAAGTATCGATCAGCAAAAAAAAAAGTGCTCTTTCAATATACATCTATTTTGAGTGCTGTTTGATTTCATATTTGCATTCGTTTTCTAGAAATATTGTATTACGGAATTTTATTAGTATCCGAATTTTGCTATGTTTTTAAGTCGAATAGTGCATTACACTATTTTTGTTTCATAAATATTCACATATTTGGAATTAGCATCGAATTCTGAACAAGATGGAGTATTTAGTTAATGAAAACTTAAACTTTTATTTTTCTCAGATCGAAAAAGTTGAAAATTTGTTTTGGTTGAATTTTAGTAAAAAGCAAACCATTTGATGAAGGGGATACGATGCTAGTGATGAGTATCAGATTGATTTAAACTTTTTTGTTTTCATCTTAATCCAAACTGCAATATTCGAAAAAAGAATGAAATTTAGTAACATGCACTATTTTTAGTTTACTATTCGATTCTATTATGCTTGTTAAGAAATAACCTGATATTCTGAAAGCTTGATAAATACGATTTGTCCTCCTAATGTCGAGACGTTAAAGTCTCAAATAAAAGAAATACATCAAAAGTGAAATTGTCAAAATATAAAGTGAAGGTGTGTGTATTGGAATCTTCTCTTCACTCACATCTACACTCACTCTATACGATACTGAAATTACAAAGATGAAAAATGATCTATGTAGGTGAACCTTTTCACAGATTTGGTTTCTGACTCAAGTGAATGACATTTTTTTTGCATAAGAATTAATTCTGAAAACAATATAAATTATGTCAATCAAATCTGTTTCCATTACATGAGCATTGCCATTGTAAAATCACTTATCATTTAATACTGTAAGCCTATAACTACTTGTTTTCGATACTTTTATTTCAAAAATATATAATTCACAGTAAGAGATGTACTTAGGTCTGTGACAACACACAATGTTATGAACTGGTACTTTTCCAAGAAGTGGTCTAGTAATCAGTTCTTTCTATATAACCTATATCTATTGATAATGGTCATGTAGTAAATCTTTTCATTAACTATTTCAGTTCTCAAAAGAGAATTAGTTCATAAAACTAGGAGCTATTCCCATGTCAAAAGTTTGTTGATCGCAAACTGCCACGGATCTAGATGTGTTAAGTTAATTCATTGATTTGTTTTAACCGATATATTATTAATTTTAGCACAACCTTCTCCATTTGAATTAGTTTCTATATCAATTTGTGTTTGATAATTTCCAGCAAGTATCCAGGATGTAGAATTAATTTTCATTGGAACATTAAATGTATGTTCTCCCCATAAACAAAAAATAGTAATTATTAATTGCACAATATTATATGCATATTTACTGCTTCTATTGGACAATTATATTGTTTATAAAGAGTACAAAGATCATCATATGTACATGAACCAATTGTGAAGCAAGGAATTGAAACATAAATTATAAAAAGTATTCTTCTAAATGCCATTGTTGCCTAAATGTGAGTGAAGTTTAGTCATTTCTTATTAATTGTATTTTTATAGAATACAAACCTGGGTATGGGTGTGGGTATGGATGATAAAGAAAGGAAGATTGACACCCACACTCTACTCACACCCATACCCACACCCATACCCTCAATCGATTGATGTGTAATTCATGTCCTGGCGAAGAAATGCAGAGCAGCTGTGGATTTATCTATGGTTGGGTCGCTATGTTCAGTGTGTTGACGGTACTTTTAGGATCGGTATGGCACCCCTATCATTTGTCGACAGTAATGATGAGTTGGTTGAACATTTTTCCTTAGTCAACATTGATTGATATTGGATTTTTTACTCTCTAACCAAATGAATATTTCGATCTGTGTGCGTCCTCTATCGGTTTCGGTAATTGGCTTACAGGCGACGTTCAATGAACTTGCTACCACGATCGCGATAACAGTTTGTGTTGGGGTAGCTGCACATTGATTCGAATTCAGCAGTTTTCTGTGTAAAAAGACTCCAGCTATATAGACAATTGCTACGTCCCTGTGGATGCGTCCGTCGCGGTTTTCACCAAGTCTGAAGGTGTTTGGTAGTGAATCTAGTAAACGACAGGTGTCAAAAATATACATATCTAGGGCCGAGTTTTTGTCAACATCTCAAGAATCTGAATATTGTTAATATGTTGTTAATTCTGAATGTAATCGTACAAAATAGTATTACCGTTGTCCGTTGTAAAAAATAGCTTCCAATTTATCCAAGAAGTAATGACTATAACGAAACACACGATTCAGAAACTTAAGTGGCAGATTTATCGATAGTAGGCCGAACAGTATCATCCATACATCGATCAGATATTGTGAAAATGTAAGATAGCTTGCGTAGTTTACGATGAAATAACTTATTCGCAGTGGCTAAAAGCATTTTTGGACGGCTTCAGATCATACAATAAAGGTGCAGACAATCTATTTGCCTAAAACGATGCCTCTAGACGAGAAGTTGTCTATGTGTGTAGCTGGAATCTTTTTACACAGAAAACTGCTGAGTGCAAAGCATTTTTTTCGAAAAATCAGTGCAAAACCATATTCGAAAAATCCTATGAGTGTATTGATCACACCATAGATCATTGATGAAAGGAACCAATTCAGTCAAACTGGTATCATTTTGTAGTTCAAAATCGTGTGGATCCGAAAATCAAAACCTACTTTTTTTACCATGCTGCTAAGAGTACCGAGAGCCATCAAAAGATTACACTGTAAAAAACCTCGGAGAATAATAAACCTTTCATAAACCCATCTTCAGCGTTCATGAGCTTAGTAAACCTCTACAAATACTCTTCAAAATACTTTTCGAAATGGCAGATGTAAATACAATACCCGCTGATCACATTTTAAAAGGATATTTGAAAGCATTTATGGCTATTATCAGTGGTCTTAAAAGTTTATGAAGAGGTATATGAGAAGGATTATTAACTTCATCGATCATCTCAAGGGTTTATGATAAGGTACATGAGGAGAATTACTGACTTTATCAATCGTCTCAACAGTTTAATAAGAGATATATGGAGTATTTTAACAACCGTATCAATCGCATCGAAAAGTTGGTGAAAGACTGAGTGATATATAGTGATAAATCAAGTTGTATATTTTATACGTACATTCGTCTACTTTAGTCTAAAATATTGTCAATCGTATGACTCAAGTCAGTCATCAGCCTATCTTTGTCATTACGCAACCGGTCATTATCAATCCATTCCATCAATTCACCGATGATTGGAGAGCAGGCTTTTGCGATTGCTATAGTGATATTAAACAATGTGAGATAATCGTTCTATCGACTACTCATTCTACTTTGTTTTGTTGTATTTTTGGGCTGCTACGCATATTGTTGTTGGCCTTATTTTGTCTTGTCGTTGGCAAGCAAGATTGACGAATCTTGTCTATCGTGCTGCTGCGTTTCAAATGCACTTGCTGTGTATCGCATGAAAGTTCGGTCTACTCTGCGAATCAAAATGAGTTATTTTAGATAAAGATAGAATAGAGTTGAAGGATTGTTTTCTATTCATCAGGGTGATGCTTGCCATGACTATTGTGCCGTTTGCTGGTGTTCATGCTGTGTCGGACTTCAGATGCGTAATGAACTCATTCAACGTGGTCTTGGTTAAATAGATCGAATGCGTACTGGAAGGATAGTTTCTAGTAAAGAAAATAAACTGAATTTTTATATCGTATATTAACAAGTAAAATTGCTGTTTATGTGATATTACTACTAATATCATCAGAAAACAATGCGTAAATACAGATTTTGACTTTTGGAAGAACAAAAAATGTCAAAGCACAATGCCAAAGCAATATGTTTTTTCTAGAACGAGAATTTTTCCACTATTTATTTCTGACTCATTAACTTTTAGCTTGAAGTACTTCTGCGGACATGAACAATTCACATTGTATCAAATGCAGATATGGCATCCATGAGATACCTAATTCGAGTTCAAATATAAACGGAGAGCTAACTGCTTATAATTACTTCGAAAATAAATGAAAAAAACCGACGTCCCTGTTGAAATAGCAAAAAGAGCAAAAGATAAAATTTTGTCCTAACTATAAATTTATAATTCGAATTGAGACAATCATATAAGCCTGGCAAAAAGCAAAAAGATAAAATTTTATATAAATTATCATTTATAAATTCGAAGGTACACCCGTTTTGAAATAGCAAAGAAATAGACAACAGCAGTTTTTCAAAATTATAATAGGGTGAATCCTTGAGGTTTCTACCCCTTTCAGGGAAAAATTTTCTTTTTTAATTTTAATAAGCTAGTTAAACGTAACATTGTCGAAAACGGGCTGAGGTAACAATTAAAATTATTTAACTTATGAAAGGTATGAAGATCGAAGGTGTTTTTTAGGAACACTCCACACATATAAAGAGTATCGTATAATAAATTGTTAATCATATTTTTCATACTTTTTATGGACATA